ATCTGTCACACTGCAATCAGAACTAATACAACTTCCAAGATACGTAAAACGCTCCACAACTTCCAGTACCTCTCCCTGGATTGTAAGGTGCGTGTTCAGTGACTGCACGTCCACAAGCATGACCTTACACTTTGTGGGTGCAAAGTGCATACCAAAGGACGGGATTGGTCAGGTCAGTTCGTCCAAGAATACTTGCGACTTTTCCTCCTATTCGAACATGAGAACGATGTCGTCTGCATATTCCAGATCGATTTTCTCCACCAGACCGATCAACCGAGTCGAATGCGCCTACCAATATGAATTAGGTAGACATTTCAGTGAATCTACGGCTCGTCTCCTGGCACGGAAAAGAGTGAACCACAGTTCGTAGCGGAGTTTTCTAAACGTCCTCCCACAGGATAACTGAGTAGGTAGTAAGTCGTGTACTCAGATAAAAATTGTCCTCTGTCGAAGTTGAGCATCAACTCCATGTCTTTTGTTCTTCTTACCCCTATATACTCAACTGAATGCACCAAGTTAACCGTGACCATGGTATAAGCCCTTATAATCAGAGTGGTGTTCAAGTGACCAGTCGAATGTACCCACAGAATCCTTTATACACTAAAAACCCGTATTATTATAAGACCACTCGATCGTAAGTCATTTAGCCGGTGGCGAAAAAGTAGCAACCGGCCGCATCAGCTTCTTACAATGACATCCATCTCATGTGAGACAAGTTAAGTGAGGTGAAACTTTTCTTTTTAGGATTTATAAATCTCAGTGAGCTTAATAAACTGCAAACGTTAATCTGAGGAAAGATGGCGCTATTTTACTTAGTTTCTGGTAGTTGAATATCGCTTTATTTGATTAGAAGGAGTAAATGCCTTGCGTGGACTGTCGCCCGATTGGCACTGGTTCTGATACCCAATCAGACAGCTCTTTACAGTTCAAGTCCTGATTACGGTTAGTTGGGTTGGTAGGTACCCAAAACCTACCGTTTTTGGTGCAGATGTTGTAGTTGCAAAATAATCCTTGATGATTTCGAGTGTAGAACTGTACGCATCTTTAGATGACGGCTCTCCATGCCAAATAATCTACCGCGAATATGAACATAAAAGAACAGGAACAAGGCATCAGAAGAAAATAAAAGCGAGTTGCTGGAGGTAAACTGTATGCCCAACCAGAAAACGGCGCAACCTGAAGCAAAACCCGCTGAACAATGTGCCCACAAACTTGTAGCTTACTTCCTTATAAGACTGCGGTTAGAAAAGTACACCATAAATTGCATCTGGACCTAAGTATTGCAGTGATTCTTGCAGGTCATATACGTTGGCTAGAACTTCGTTTTAGTAGATTCAAACACGGTTAAGCAACAGCAGGCAGACGGCCCCGAGACCTTGTACTACAAGAAACCGTGTCACGAAGGATACCCACAAATGCTGAGATGTTTCAGGCGAGAATGAACGATGATGCCAGGTGAGAAAAGGGACTAGGAAGTAAAGGCTTGTGAAAAGCTGTGCATATCGATCGACCGATAGTTGACTGAGACCATCAAATATGGCAGAAACAAAAGACCATACCAAAGGCTCCATGCGACTTCAAACAACCAACTGTGAACGGTCGTATGTAGTACTAGATAGTTCTTAGCTTAAGGCTAACCCCTGAGAACCAAGTGAACTAAAATTCCGAATTCTCCCCTCTATTGGGGAGGGGTCACCGGCGACCACAGTTCAGTTTTCCAGTTATTACTAAGTATACCTATACCCACGAGTCTCATGTGCCAGGTGGTCAGTTTTGGACAGGACCACTGGACGCCTGAATATTGTCCTGAATCCCCTGCATCGCGCAGCAAAATAAAGCAAAGCCATTTAGCATTGAGGCTTCCACTGTCTATATTCTACGTTTAATCGGATATAGGATTGGTATTTACATTCATTATAAGTCGACGCGAGCTACGTTTCCGAAAGTGCCTTCCGGGACACCCATCTCAGCCTAAGATACATAAAACAGAGTGCGCCTTACAACATTCGTATAAGTCTAAAACATGACCGATCAATAAAACCAAGGCCCCCTGAGAGGCCTTTAGATGCTTCTTAGTACAGAGGTCAGGATTAATCAATACGGCTGTCTGCTCCGTCGAAAAATGTCCTGTGTCGATTACACGGCCCATGATTTGACCCCAAATTCGATCAGCGTTGGGTTAGGGTCAGTTGACGTGGTATGAAGTTTTTTGGGCACGTGCTCATTTGCTCGATACTCTGTAAGTTCCACGGATATACACATCACCGAAACTGGAGGTGAATTGACAAATTCAATGAGTAGGAGATGAAGCTGAAGTCGGCGATATGATTGGCAACAGTGTCGTTGTCCGTGCATGTCCCTTCGTGTGCTGTGTATTAAGTCCCGGTAGGGATAAGTTAGGTGTCCGCTCGGATAAGCTAAAAGCATGACCACCGTAAATCTTTCTTCGGTTATGTGAACGGTACTTTCGGTGTTCTTTTGTGAAGGGATGAGGGTGGTTATTGGACCGCAGTACATCTTTCAGCCATTCAGTTTCCTCCGTGAGTGTATCAGAGGTACAGAGCTGGCTAGCTCTATGGAGGAAAGTAAGCACACGGCTGTAACATGACGGACAGAAACCCATGATGTATAGATATCGTCCAGTCCACGTAAGTTGCCAATACACGAAATGAGACATAGTACCAACAGTACTTCTGACAATGAAAATGTTCAAAATGCAAGTCTGTTGTCCTGTTCAAATTCACAGGCGTTAAAAGCAGACAGCAGATGTCCAAACTGTCTCACTGTTTGCGAGGGACCTGTTGGTTTCTGCCGACTCCTCAAGTTTGGCCACAAAAATTTCCGCTGGGGATGGTCCTAAAGGGTTCGCTACGGCGAAATCACAAACTAGGCGGCCACAGAGAGAGGAATTGGTTAAGGCCATATTGATTAATCGTCCTACCTCTTTCCCCTGGTCTCGAAAAGATCTAAGGGTCACTAGGAGACTGTCATGGTTGTTCACGCTGTTTGAGACTTACATAAATGTTGTAGGCTTCACGGTAACATACATCTTGTGCTGTTCGTGGGGGGAGTGCACGAGATGAACTCATCCCGCAACCTTGTTTTACACAATGCCTCAATGTTCACACTGATCAGGGGATCACAGTGCCTCAACATCCATCTCAGCCACTAAAAGTCCAATCCATTCCTCGGGTGGATGACGACTATGATAGGGTAGCCATGGTAAACACCATATGAAAGCTGCACTCTGCTCCAGATTTAGAAATTATACACTAAAATGGATTCCAGTGAATTGCCATCTTTGCAGATTTCACACGACTGGTTCACTTAAGTATAGCGCAAGTCGACGCCACTTATTTCGTATACTTGTCAGCGATGCTTCGACAGACTAGTCACTAGGCTGAAAAAACTACGTCCATTGAAATAGGGTATAACAGATGCGATAAAAAACACGCTGATGGTGTGACTTAAGCAGGCGTTTTGAATGTCCAAATTGATCGAATAAGTCTCGAAGAGCGGATTCGGGTGGCTAACAAGATGTCAGTGATTATCGCACCAACGATGATGAACAGTCATGTACTCATGATAGGCTGTTCTAAGTCGGCACAAGCGGCCAAGTCATATTCTACCTGCAAATGTTGGCGCTTTAGGAAGGGATGTTCTAGAGAAGAGTGAAAAGGAAGAAGGGGTGGAGGTTCAGTTCGAAAGCTTGTTTCAAGAAAGGGACCAAAAGCAGACTAGTGAGAAGCAAGTCCAAGTAAAATGTCACCAGCCGAGCGGATCTAGTATTCACCTGTATTTCATCCAAAGCGAAACAAAGCAAACGATGACAGACAAACCTTAGCCAGAAGACCAGTTAGGAAGTGAGAGTACACCAGCCGATGATATGCGAAAATCACATGGGCCAGAAGTAGAAAAATGAAAGACATTAGGACACTAAGTTTGGTGATAACTGCTTCCATTTTGCAACGTCATGTTATGGAGCTAACGGTTGGGATCTTCTACTAGAGAGACAATAAATATTACGTAGTCCGAAACATGTTATGAACTGGTGAAATGACTAGCTTGAATACAAACTTGTCCAACGTGAAGGTAGTCATGCTTACGGATTTAGAAGCTCTAAGCTCGAGCTCGCCGAAAATCAAATTCGGAATCTATCATGGATGTCAGAAGAATTATGCCAGTAGCTGACTGTCGTGAGATAAAAACACAGTGACAACAAGCACCAAACAGTAACAACTACAAAACATGGCAGAGTGCCCGTGGTAGTGGAACTCCGGAAACGGAGCATAAAACAGGTTTCCAAAAGTGAAAGTCACGTTGAACAGTAAAACCCACAACGAATGACAGGCCTCCTTCAAAACAAACTTTGGAGAAAACATGCCATCCGGAATGGAATATGAACACATCTACCAGACACCATAAGCCTCAGGCACAAAAACATGCGATCCATTCCACATAATTGTCAAAGGCGGCGAAACACTACATGATAAACTTAGTAGAAGTAATGCTTAACGACGAGAGGATGTCAGTGCAACTGAACTCTTCCGCTGTGATTCCGATCTACAAGACGTACGTGAAAACCCCTTTGAAAATTCTTGTCACATCAGCCAAATGGGTGCAGCTTCCAAATTGCTGTCTGGCGAACAAACCGGCATACTCTTGGGCAACCGTGCACCTTGCAACGAGTGCTTGAGCACCGTCACTGTTCCTTGCGGAGATACCATACCAGTATTGGTTACCCTTCGGGTATCCTAAACAAAATCTGGTAAAATCGATTGTCACGCTGAGTTCAAAACATCGAAAAGACCATAGACAGCGACTCCACCTTTAAAGATTTGTTACTGATAAGTTAGTCGGATATTCTTTGCTTGCTCCTGGCGCTGAGGGAACATATGTGACCACCAGGTGCTTCCTCAAAGAAACCGACAACACTGTAAACCACATCCGTCAAGAATGCAGTTAATCGTTTTTAAACACATTCCACTGCACAACTGAGTTTAAATAAAGTGTAAAACGTGGCACAGTAAAACTGGATGGGTCTAAGCTAACCTTCAACATTCCATGTGAACTACTAAGATGGTCAGTGAATGTGTCGACCCGGGCAGCTGCGTTAACCTCTGAGATGGCCAATAAGGGCAGAAGATGAAATACTTGGTGATCGAACATTGATGTTTCCAAAGCATTACTTGAATTCGTTGGGAACAGCGGATCAACAGGAATGCGGGGGCGTCGAGTGGGCTTTTTTGAAGGAAAATATACACAGACTAGCTACTGGCCGAACTCCATCAGTTACACTGGTTAAGTCACTAGGTCGGACGTCAACCATCAGAACGTCAAACGAACAGAACAATTCCAGTTCACAAATGTTGTAGATGGAAATGATGACCAGTTCTCGACTTGTATATGTAGTAGGAAACTTGTTTCAAACGGGCATCTTCCCGGATGAGGACATCTGGATTAGAGGCGTCCAGAAGGCAGTAGCAGACAGCCCAATCACCTTTGATAAGTAGCTGTCTTATTACGAAAAAAAGTCAACGTCCTCCTCCTTCAAAATTCGTTGGGAACAGCGGATCAACAGGAATGCGGGGGCGTCGAGTGGGCTTTTTTGAAGGAAAATATACACAGACTAGCTACTGGCCGAACTCCATCAGTTACACTGGTTAAGTCACTAGGTCGGACGTCAACCATCAGAACGTCAAACGAACAGAACAATTCCAGTTCACAAATGTTGTAGATGGAAATGATGACCAGTTCTCGACTTGTATATGTAGTAGGAAACTTGTTTCAAACGGGCATCTTCCCGGATGAGGACATCTGGATTAGAGGCGTCCAGAAGGCAGTAGCAGACAGCCCAATCACCTTTGATAAGTAGCTGTCTTATTACGAAAAAAAGTCAACGTCCTCCCTCCTTCAAAAGAATGGTTGTGCTTCCAGCATTACCCTGTTCCCGGGAAATGAGAAACAATGAGCTGGTTCTTGGCTGACACGTAGAGGTGGACTGACATATAAATCGTGACTCCAAAACCGGATTAAAAATGAATTGGACAGGTACACCCCACAGCTTCAAAACTTTATGACATCCGTGTACAGCGAAATGATAAATGTCCAGTTGCACAGAAACAGCATTCTACCACGTTACCCGCTGCTTGATTACTGCATGCCACATGGCGTCAGAGATACAGTGTAATTAGCCAACAACCCAAGATAGGGATTATCATAGTACCAATAAAACACAAGAGAAAACACCGTACAACGACGGAATTTTTGAGTGAGAAATTGCTTACCATGCCGCCAGATTCACGCTCGCGTAACCAGCTAACAAAAGAGCTGTCGATGTTAACTTTTTCTCGGACGATAGGGATGTAGAAACTGACATACGATATGGGTGGTTGCCTTGATTCATTGATCTGGAATATGGAAGAACAATTACGCCGTTTGTGAGATTTGGGTGATGTGAACGCAATGCGCCAGTAAAACGAGGGTTCGTGCATTCCGGTGATTTACTACGACAAGCTCATTGAGCAATGGCTTCTAGTTAAGAGGAAAGCAAAGTAAGATAATCAAGATCTATTTTGGCAAAAGCTCTGAGCGTCTAGGCAAACAACAAGAGGTTCCTTGAATCGTACTGAAACCCAAACGGTTGAGTGACGTTGCAGATTACGACTACATCGACGGAGCAGTTTACTGGCACTCCAGCATAACTCCAAAGCTTGTCTAAAGAAACAGTGACGGGACGTTAACTAATGTAGGTGGATACGGGCTGTTCGAGCCGTATGCACCGTGAAACACTTAGACCCCAGGTAGTAAGGCATAGAAATTCCACTGTAACTTTGTTTTGCTATGCTACATCCTATCCTAAGCACGAAATGAACCTCTCCCTATGGTGAAAACATTGAAAGTGTCATGGGATCTGGCCGCAGTTAGTAAAACAGGGCGTGAACAGATGTTGATTAATGAGCCACTGGGCGTGTCTTAGAGGGATGAATGGCCATAGCTTTATCCTTGAGTTGCAATCTCTGCCCTGGAATGTGCACAAGGATTCCGATCAGTTTTGGTACAAGTGTATTCAAAGGCATGTTTGCTAGAGTGTCTACTTGTCTGTGACAGCACGAGCACGTATGCATGACCATACTCAAACCAAATTGAGTGCAAAGCAAAACTCGGTGAATGCGATACGGGAAAAAATCGTTTGTTTGGCCTTTGAAGTACAGTTTGATACATTAGGGAGTACGTATGAACAGACCAACAGTGGTTAGCCGGCATCTTCGGTTAAGGTGGCAGGCTACGAAATCGGGGATATTTAAATCCCCATATACCAAACCATGACCGTCGGTTGTGTAAACTGGTAGTGTGAATAAGATGAGAAAATGGATTGACTCAAGTATTACGAGGTGAGAAAATGTAATGGAGCCACCGACAACATGTTTACATCTAACCAACAACAAGGCCCTCTGGTAGTAGGGGGAGTGAGATAACTCATCTCCATCAATATAAACATTGAGGAAAAAGTTACGGTTGGCCGTGGTTGTCCATGGCTGGTAACTGCGATAGTCCCAGGAAGTATATATGGATTTATAAAGGTGAACAAAGCAGTCCGAACATTACAAAATTAGTAAGATAAAGACATTGTACAGGATGAAGTACGTTAGACTAAACGAAACAGTGAGCACACAAGATAACTAACCCGATACAAGCGCTTCATCAGTTCCAGAGAACTTCGGACACCTTCTTCTTTGGATCGGCGCTAAAGCGTTTCAAATGGCATGAGGAAAAAATGAAGGTAATGTAAACTCAGCGGCGCTCAGGAGTCAACTGATAAGACCAGCTATACCAAGCTCACAGCAACATACCACTGAAACCAATCTGTGGCGAAAGAACCGAGAAAGTTGTAAATACGCAGTGGCGGTGAGTTCAGCACCCTGTAAATTAAGCGAAGCGGGTCGAGAGAGATGAAATTACTACAAGTGACGTCTTTGACATTGATGACCCAATCGCAGCCTCTCTGTTACACCCCCCAGTATGCTGCATAAAAGGAAGCATACTAAAAACGCAGGTTGAAGATTCAGGTCGCATGTGATAAGACCTAACAGGTTCTGACGATCGAAGAGCATAAAAGGTTGTCACTAGATGCTGGTCGTTGTTAGACATGAAGCATAATACATCGGGTCAATTTCAACCTCTCAAGTGCTTGATAGAGGGAATCAGGCAGCAAGTGACGAAAAGGCATCCCAGGTACTGTTGAGTCTTGTGCAAAACATTGGGAGCGCTCTATTGATGCGCTCCTGATAAGAGCTTAACGAACTCAAATGCGGACACAAACTCATGACTATCTGGAGATATCTTGTGAGCATCCATAGAACGTGCATGAGTGGCATTGGTTTAACGAGGGCGGGAATAATACGCTTCTAAATGTTATGCGAGTGGAAATCAATGCAGGGTTGGGTGGAGATGAAAAGATGACGTCACAAGCTCGAAATAAATGAAACTCATAGTGTATAATGAATTCCCATAGGAACAGGGCTTACCTCATAATCGGCGGTTGCAGGTTGCATGTTAAGTATGTACACAATGTGATTATTCAAATTCTGGAAAACAGAAAGGCGGCTTTTAGTTTCAGACACAACGGCGAAGAAGTGGGTGACACCAGAACTCAAAGTATGGGAGGTAGGCAAAGAGGGTTCACAGAGTTGAGAAAACTTCCGGCGCATAGTTATGGTGCATTTAAAATGGGAGATTGTCTAGGTCTAAATAGGAGCAAACGTGAGGATGAGGCGTGGTTCGAAGCACGGATTTCCCGGTTAGCAGCTTCTGTCTCTTAACCTCGAGAAGTGGAAAGAATTTGCGAACTTCGAAGAGGAAATATGGAATGGGCTGAAGACGAAAAAAATGAACCATTTTTCAGTTGGCTTGGCATCAATGGATCTCAGAATAAAGTGAAAAGCAGAAACGCAGAAAATCGATATTCGCCTAAATAAGACCAGACCCGGAGCGAGAATACTTTGTCAAAAGCAATATCATGATGCTAGGTGTTGAACGTCGGCTTTCCCGGTTGAAGTGCCACGTTTGCAACTGGAAATGCCAAATGCTTGCTTCTGAAGAGGGTCTTGACCAGAACATCATCAAGACACCCCCCCACCCCCCGGAAGAGACTACGCGGGGGGGGGGGGGGTCAAAGGTGACTCAGTAATGCAGATTGAGGAACTTTTCCACACCCAATGTACTAGTTACTTAGTTGAATACACTTGTGAACTTCAGCTTCGCCTCGAAAGGCACATGCTGGGCTGATTTTTTGTTTTTCTTTCGGAATCAATACCAGATTGGCCCGTGTATCCTTCATCAAAATCCCTAGCAGCCCATTTGGTCGCAGCACATCTGCCGTTCATTTCCACGTCTCTGGATGCACCTAAGAGCCCCCCTCAATTACCAGTGACAGCGTTATTTACATGCTACCCTCCACTTAGTCTAAATTAGCTGTGGTTCTGTTCAAATTTAAAGTCTACCCCACCACTGAGTCTTAAGTACGACCACAAGCACCATGCGTAATTTTGGAGCATCTCTGTGCAAAGACGCCATACGCCTCTATACCGAGTTCACGTCAGGGTTGGTCAGTGGCTGAATAAATCAGTCTTCGAAGCATTCATTCACTCGGAAGGAATCTAAGTGACGTTTTGCGATTTTATACAACCCAAACTAATCAACTATTCAGTATGGAGAGCTTGGATGCTCTAAGTTGAACGGTGGACGAGAAGTCCAAGAAAATATCATCTTAATGAGGCACAATACACTACACTAATTAGCGAATCGGTCTTTTTCAATCGGGAAAGTGAGGTTTAACAGAAGGAATCTGATGTGAGTTGCAGGTGATACCAAACAGTTCGGTGGATTAAGCAACACAGACATGTGGTTCAGAAGATACACACTAGAATATGATCACCCATAGTGTTGTAAGTCATGCATGCTTGGAGATTCTTTCCTGGATAAACGAGGATAGTGTTAAAGGCATGGGATTCTAACCACACACAAGAACTATTTATCACGCTAAAATAAATATGCATTGACTTCCTACCAGCATAGTCAGTGTCTTCTTTGTATAGTGCGGGGGGGCATTAGTGTTGAAGAGCTACGATACGGGTGGGGTCCTGAAAACTGTTTTCAGAGTGAGGAATTCAGTTGTCACAAAGATCGAACATATGAAACAGCATGCCTCGACGAACTAAGTTCACCTTAGAAACGTGGCTGTAGATATGTTAAACATCCGAAAAAGTTGAATCTACGTGGAGATCGTACAGCAAAAGTTCCGTTTGATCACGGAAAAACTGTCACAAATTGGTGTGGTCTGTTGAAACTTACTGTGACGAGTTTTTTGAAGTAACGAGGCTGCACTCTGGCGAACCACCGATCTAACAAAAATGAGAAAACGTATACGTAGCGAAATAAACATAAATCATCATCACTGACATTCTTTCATCCAAAACTATAATACTCATCTTAAAGAGCGATGAACAAGCAAATCGGGCTTTCTGCGCCTTGCCCATAACAAGAAGTACACAGTTAATCGAAGGCATCACGGACAACATAAATACCCTCCAAAGGCAAGTAAGACTTCCGACACGATAACCTCCCCAGTCAGACAGGGAAAGAATACCTTTTGGACTGATCTACATGATCCAACATCAATGTACTAGGCACAGAACACTGCAGAAACCAGTCCATGTGTGAATTTTGGACATAATGTTAGATTAGTAACATGAGGTTAATTTGAACTCCACCGAAAGGTCCCTTTAAGGATTACTTGGTTACTTGGTAGGCTGAATAGCTTTTGATAATGAAAGTCACCTCAAACATCGTTGTCGTTGCAGCGTATGGGCTTCTGTCCTGGGTGCAGATCATCTAAAGGTCACATGCATAATGCCACATTTTGCAGCACACGCCACAAGCACTCTCGAAAAAAGGAGATTCTGACACACTTTGAGCATACTGTTGGACGTCTTCCGTTAATCGAACCTCACATTAAGAGAAAATATGCAAGAGGAACTACCACGACTCCTATCAGAAAGCGGGAACTATTCGTCATTAGGAAAAGGCCCAGTGACCAAAAACCCTGTTCAGTTCAACTGGCTTTTTTTGCAAAAAGGTAGCTGAAATTTCTATCAAACTTTTGTCCTGCAAGTAAAGCCAATCTATGCATAAAAGTCAACAAGAAGTGCTTGAAATCATTGCACTATGTGCGTCACGAATCTCAGTGAAGACTTCAACAGGTAACTCCTCGGCTATTAGTCGAAGACTAAACTGTTCGATCACTTATCAGTAGGTTTACTAATTCGCACTTAGGTGGGACATAGCAACACGGATTCTTCTATCAGGGAATTCATATCACGTGCTGACTGGCTCCTCGAATGACGAGTTTTGACACAAAGGTTCACGAACCTTGTGGATTATTCTTCCTCCTGAACTTATTATGGTTTATCGGATAGCATGAAGGGATTCGGAGGCAGCGAAAGCAATTTTGCTCCAGAACTGAAATCAGCCTAGGCCGGAAAGCCTGTTCATTGTCTGGTCACTGACCGGGAGGTCGTGGTATCGCATCTACATAGAGATTTGTCAAGTGCGCACTGCTGATAACCAGGCAGCTGTAAATGTCTTCTCGGTACTTCACTTGTGGGACGAAACGTCTAACTCTCCTCATACTGCACCTCAGGTGGAAATTTCTGATGAGTTTGCCAAAAATACGGGTGAAAGGAGGAAAACTTTACGCTGAGAAGTCATTTATTAGTAAACACGAACTAAGGAGTTACCAAGTCATTAGACAAGAAAGCAAATATCTTATCTGCAAATATTCTTTGGAAACTTAACATTCTCACGCGCCCTCTTGAACCTTCCTTGCTACTCATTGAATATCACACAATAGTACACGAATACTGCAAAGCAGTAAGAACTTCCACTGCTAACTCTATCAGTACACTGATGGGGCACCTGAGATTGGGCATAAAACTGTGAAAATACTAACAAAACACGCTTTAGAGACACAACAGGAATATGTGGACTGATAGCTCACAATGATATAGTCAAAACAAGGGAACATCTACCAATGATTTTTGAAGGAGCAGGTTCCAATTGATTGATAGCCAAGGTGAAACCGTGCAAAACCATTCCAGGATTAGGGAGTCCAGCTAATTTCACGAGAAAAGGGCCAGCTTCTCCGGATTCATTCCAGTCCGAATCACTCAGAGGATGTTTGTCAATAGGCGCTGAAATATCACTGTGGCTGCTGTCATGGGAAACAGGCCGATCTGGGGCGCGCGGCGTATTAAGCAGGTCTGACACAGCAAGTACCATTAAACCACGAAGGCATTCGATGCTAGGGTAATTTGGTCGGGCAACATTTAGCACACCATCCATCAGTTTTTCGATGAGACGACGCAAGTTCTTGGGCTGCAACTGCCGGAATAATTGTTGCTGCAAGTCACGAGCAGCGTCCAGATCGACCCCATGTTGATCTCGACCAGTAGAGAAGTGACTAAAACGAGGGAGAATGCAAGGGTAAGGTAACAAGAAGCTAGTAGGAGAAATATCGAGTGCACTGATGTGGGGAAATCAGTAGATTCAACCCTATTACCAAAGTCCACACCCCGTGGGACGGGATGTACCAGTGGTTTGAGCGCGAATTTACTGACCGGAAGGTCCGTGGTTCGAACCCGACTTCTGCCTCTGGACTCCCCCCGTCTAGGCTTGGGCAACCTGACAGTATCTCAGGTGGCATGGCATGTAGGCATCAAAAAGGTGCTACAGCTGAACGATTATTTTATCATTATCCACACCCCATGCTACTTCAGTAACCTCCACTCCCAACCATGATGAAAATCGAAGACATTATCACGGATATCGGGTGACAAACGTACCTGTTCGTAGCTGAATTTTGGTGATCAGTTCCCACGTATCTCGAACCGTCATGACGGTTTGATAATTTTACACTTGATATCACGGGAAACTGCGGTAAGCGACGTCTGCATTATTCAACACGGTCGGAATACTTTTAAAGCCAAAGATTCTGTTGCTGCTCGAAAGGCATCTGATGTGTGCCACCAGATCGGGAGTGAGACACTAATGCCCCACCCTCTGTGCCTCCGTGTTGGGCCGGGCCCCTGCATCCGAGCAAATCAGACTATTGAGTTATCGGCTTCGGGAAGGGTCCCCCGAAAAAACCATAGTCCCAACTGCCCTGTGGGTCAGACCCAAGAGTGGTTAAGCATCTCAAAACGCCCTTTGACATTCCTCCATCCATGTGCCCAGTGATCCAAAAGCGATGAGTCGTGGAATACGTTACGTGGGAGTTGCACTCAGCCCCAGAGCTGAGTCGGGCTGCAGTGTCGGACTGCATACTGACACGGAGTTTTATGCAGAGCCATCTGGACTTGACCGTCGAGGAAGAAGCACTGACACCGTGATCCTTGCGGGCGATATGAATGTCCAAGTCGGCCGTCTGAGCTCCATGAATTCCCATCTGGGCGGTCGACTCGAAGTCGGTGCTCGTCTCACAGACAACGGAGAAAGACTCCCATAGTTGTGTGCCGATCATGAACCGTTTCTGAGCATTACAAACTTTCAGTATACACGTTCCCATCAAACGACCTGGCAGCCACCAACGGCAAATCAACCATGGACCCATATGGATAAGCCACCAATGAAAGCCACAACTCAGAGCTGCCGTTCCTTCGGGACAAACAACCTGATTCAGATCACGTCATGCGGCGGGTACGCTTGACGATTTTTTTCCTTCATATCCTCGCAAGTCTGCAAGAAACATGCCAATCCACCACCTTCGAGGAACTACTATATCTCTACACTGTCGATCCGAACCAGCTCAACTACTATCTACAGTAAGCCAACGCTGTAATGGTAGCGAGTACGTTGATTAAGCATGGAAACATGTGGAAGGGGCTTTGCTAACACAGTTCATCGCTGTCTGTCTGACTTCTCCAATACGACCAAATGACCACAGGATACCACTGATATACCTAAAATCGAAAGTAGTTCAGCCGTAGCACCCTCTCGGTGCCTAGCTGATATGCCATCCGAAGGAAGCCCGAAGGCTGGGATACTGCCAAGCTGCACAAGCCTAGATAGGGAAGTTGGTGTGCAGAGGTCGAGTTCGAACAACGGACCTCCCGGTCAGCAAATTCGCGCTCTTAACCACTGAGGCATTCTGCCCCCATCGATATCCCCATTACTGATTGATGGCAGGAAATCCATACCAGTGGGCAACAAGGACGACGATGCATGGATATCCTTCAAACGGCAAACAGTGAATAATCTAAGGTGGACATCGAAAGCCCATGAAATGGAGAAGGTTCTTGCTACCGTAAACAGCAATGCTCTACATCACCTGACAAAATCAGCTGGCCTTAGGAAAGAGACAGCCAGTGAAATTATACGTGAAAATGGCGGCTGGTTAATTCACTCACGAAAACATCGACTAGGAAGAACAGCTTAGCCGGCTTCCTATAATAGCCTGTGGAGATAGTGCGTACGGGTGAATGGAATGTAAATCTTAACCGCCCGCCGGAAAAGGAAATAAGGTGGCGAAACGTGACAAACCACCAGAACTGGATGGTCTGTGTCCAGTCAAAGAAGTCGGAGAATATCTCGTGACCTATCTAACGAAATTCATTGGTGCAATATGGAGTTCGCAGAAAATGCCTGCAGGATGGTGCATGTCGACAGTTACTCCTGTCTTCAAAGAGAGACGCTAACGCTGTGAGAAAACCACCGTGGCATCAGCCTGGCAGCCGTGACATAGAAGGTACTCTCTGGTCTTACCCTTAGAAGGTTGACTGAACACAGGGAGAAACAGACCCGTGAGAACCAAGCTGGGTTCTGTCCTGCAAGAGGTTACATCGATCAATTCCTCACCCTCCGACACATTCCTGAACAGCGACAATGCTTCTAGCGGCCAACAATGGTTGTGTTCCTTGATATCAAAGCTGCTTTTGACTCTGTTGACCGTCAGGCACATTGGCAGTGTCTGCGGAGCAAAGGTGCCCCCCATAAATCCTTGACCCTCCTTAAGACGCTGTACGCTAACTTCTGTGGTCGTATAAAGCTCTACGGGAAGCTCCCGTCTGAGTTCACCACATCCACAGATGTCATACAGGGTTGCCCTCTCACTTTTTCTCTTCAACATCGTCATCAATATAGTCATGGAAGACTTACTATCAGCCTCTAATGCCTGTGAGGTCGAAGTGCCCCCGTGGAGTGCGCTCACAGACATCGAGTACGCAGACGACATAGCTCTTCTTGGACCTGACCCTGTGGTGATGTAAACAATACTAAATAAACTAAATAATTCCGCCTCACGGCTTGGCATGCGCTTTACACGTGCAGCATTTAATTCTTCTGAACGCTCTTCTTTGTAACGGGCAAGCTTCTCAAAGTTACCGAAGTTCATCTTTCAAATCTGAGAATGGATACTCTTCGAGAATAAACATGGATCTGAAACAAAACTTTTCCGCTGAAGGTTGCCCTGACATTTGTAATATGGCCTCCAGGACCAATGCTGAACACACCAGCTCGCTTATTCGCTTTTTGAGTAACATTTCATCTCGGGAGAGAAGAAATTCTATCGTTACATGCGTTGTCCTACAACCTTTGAGTGTTTGAACCACCATTGTGCTTTATCTTTTGGTTGACCAGCTGGTTATTTTTGTTTACACTTGTAGTATCAAGAACTCAGACAATAATTTACTTTTGCACTTCCGTGTAGCACAAATATCGTTTAATTTTGATTGGCTGTACCGATTAAGCTGTTAAAACATGCCGACGACTTCGCTCTTTGATATTCGGATTCTGGATGGCTACAGCCTAAAGTCTGTTTGATGAATTATTCTTCTCTATGACTGCATCAAACTGTGTTATAATGGCGACTTATTGAACTACCCACAGGCGACCACTGACATGTCGGTGATGAGCGCAAGGTCGGGTGCAGCAGACTTTCATTGGTATCCAATAGTGGAGTGTTTGCTCACAGAAGCCAATCCATGACTGTGGTGCTGTTGTGACATTTGTTAGATAGAAATACTGATACCTGGATCCGGGTGGCTTCGGATTTTCTGGGATCTACGATGAAGAACCAAAACATTCATGATCAAATCATATGGAGCGAACTTTTTGAGTGTTTTCTGGACTAGTCCAAGTCTGCGTTCGAGTCTGAAAGGCCTTTTCGTACGTTACTGAGGGGAACAGCATCCAATCCATTTGACCAGTCTCGCTAACAAGGGTGGAAACCAGTGGACAAGGGGAACGGTTCCACATCAGTTTGTATTTCCCCATGCATAATGAAATGTGCACACGATCAACACCTGACCCGAATTAGGACGAAACGGACACCAACTATCCCCTTCAATTCGCAGCCTCCTACTCTAATGAACGAAATTGTGACAGCTATAACCACTGTACAGCCTGTACACTGTTTATAACTGGCGATGAGTTGCCACGAAAAGTTGCACTTCATTGTTATAGTCTACTGTCAGGCTTCTGATGCACGACAGTTACGTCCAGAACATCGCTCTTGGAAGAGGGGAGTTCAGTGGCTGCCATACAAACCTCTGGCAAGTTTCACCGCATCCCCATGTGAGTTAACATAGGTTGTACTCTTACGACCGATGAATCATTAAAACTGCGAGACGGCACGGAAAAAAGCCGCTCATAGGATCAACCAAAGTAAAATGGAGCGGCTTATAGACATCGGATGATCCAACCAAAAACCTATGATTTGGGCTACAAAGGAAATGCGTCTGAAGCTGACAGTAGGGCCACGTACCATGCACAATCAGGAAGAAAGTATTAAAACTCAATTTGGGCAGTAGAACTATCTTTTTCCTAAACCATCCCGTTTTATTCCTTGTAATTTGCACATCGGTAACTGTATGTCCAAGTTACACACATGCCTAGCTCAAACGTATGCTGCGCGAGGATCAACAAGTACAGATCTAGGTGACAGATAGCTCTGAAAACGGAATCCAACCCACCTGATAGACGGACCTCTCAACACTTCAGCATTATTCAACCCGAACCGATCTCATGACATGCGCTTCGGCAACCAATGTGCATATCAGTCGATACGATGTACTCACTACCCCAAAACCGCTTCGTTCCCGCATCGCTCATCCAGCGTTCATAATTACATACAGACCACAATGTGCCAAACATGGCACTGACTGGTGAAGTACTTCACACAGTAAATCATCCATGAGTAAAAAATAGGACTCACTTGTCCGCCAGGCAGGTGGCTGCAAGGCATCCGAGTGAAGAAAACGCAGTCTCCAAGCGGAGACTAGCAGACGTGACATGCTGTGAATTCGTGCTATCTGAAGACTCTGAACATGCAGAACTTGTTCTGTACATCGGCGCAGGGAGTGGTAAGGCCGTGAGTGCATCTCGGAGATGATCCAGCGCTTGTGGGCATACCGTGGCGATTGAGCGTGAGGACATAGGATCCCACACGCGGAAATCCTCTACGATGGTCTGACTTCTCATCTAGGAAAAACGTAAGACAGATAATTGTAAAGAGTAGACAATCGGTCAAACTCACTCCAGTCATTGTGCGCCCATTTTAGCAAATTAATCATGCCGCTCCTAGGAACACACAGCTTCGTTAACTGAAGGCGGCATATACTGAGCGAGTGTTAGTAGACAGAATGGATGGACAGAAGAGGATGAGCCCGTACAACTGACAACACAGCAGATGAAGCAGCGCAGAAAAATGGTACGAAATAGGTTAAAAAGGAAAACAGAACGTGTGCAGTGTGACTATGGCTAAGTGTTACTTGTAACTTAACACCTGAAGACAATTAGTGAATCCATACAAACTTTTGAAAATGCACGAATTCGTAATAACTTCACTCAGCCATAGGACCAAACCAGGTAATATGCACGAGTGAAAACTTCACAAGGAACTTCTTTAGCATTGACTAACAAAATACAACATTCAGCACAATCTGCACCAAAATACAAACTACAAAGTATCATACTACTTTCTTTTGAACAAAATTTGTGATTTCCGTCCTTAATTTTGAACCTTACACAAGATAGAACCGTCTTCACACATTCCAGTTGGCCCGACTACCTAAAAATCCCGGATGAGTCCGTTATGTGAGCCGGTTAATCCGAAGACTAGATGTGGTGGCGTAATCACCACGTCTTTGTGAGATAAATGCTACGAAACTGACACCTATCCAACATTGACAAACGACAATTCCTCCTTGCAGAATTTGCTCCCCAACTATAACGGCAATTTTAACCGCGGAAAACATTCTCTTCTTCATGTCAGTAACAAGCTAAGACATCCAGATCATGCTAATGAGGCTGTTTACTCAAGCCAATATTGCTCTTCTCCGCTTGTTCCTTTGTCCATCTTTCTTTACGATTGGTGCACTGCATTCAAACACAACACCTTTATATTTCATGGTTGGACAATAATAGTTGCTGAACTCGCCATACGCCCAATTGGTATTCAAAGTGCATTCCAGTTTCGACGCACTCGCTGTGTAATCGGATGCCATCTTCAGCAGAACTCACTACGTCCTGCCATCTAGCAGGCAGTGCTTTGATGGATTGTAGAATGACTGTGACTATCGTTTGCGTTTTATCTACTACGGTCGAAATCCATCTGCTCCTCGTCCCCATTTATTGCAAGCCCGAATTTCGGATAGTTCCGATTCTGAAAGCGATAGGTAAGTGCCGAACCCACACGGATTCACCACAACCATCAATGAAAGCAACATCGGAAAACGGTGCTTCACTGGGGTCAAGCCACCTCGACTTATTAGAAAAAAGCCTCATGATAGGAAGAGGTAAACAGGATAACGCCAGCCAGCATTCTTACAGAAGCAGACCGAACGAGTGAGGCAAACGCACTCGTAAAACCAGGGAACACCTATATGCATGCCGCTCGCTAACACTGGACGAAGTGCGACGACGCGGTTCACATAGCCCCTTCCCGACCGGAATTCTTCTTACCGTTCTCAGATCTTGTCTTAACGCACAGATCCATAATATGTGACGCAAAGGGTCTGGTTACAGAGAAGGTTACGCTGTAACCCTTGTGACTGCCACAGACACTATGGGCACCCGCTTTAAAAATGAGCAACGTTCTCAACAGCAACAATAAGAATATCATGGTTTCAAAGACCTTTCAGCGTTCGCCTTAATACTTCATCAGTGACAAAGTTCAACAAGAATTTGGGCATTGGACATCCATGTCGGACACCACTTTTTGTGGGGAAGCATTGGGAGAGCTAAAAATACACTCTCACACGCCCAGAAGTATGTGAATGTAGGGACCGGATTATGTTCACAAACTTACGGGGCGTACCCTGTTGAGCAAGTGTTTCAAGAGCACTGACCGATCAACAGAATCGAGCGTACCCTTGAAATCAAATAATACCAAGATTGTCATCCGTACATATGGCGTTTCTCTAACGCATGACAGAGTGCGAAGATGTGGTCGACGAAGCCTATAACCTGTCGAAATCCTGCTTGGTACGCATGGGTCAAGGATTCGTGTTCTGTCGTAAGATAACGAAGGATCAGTGACGGACACTCAGGTTCACCTGGCGCCGGATGACGTGTCAGGAAAAACTATGGTGCGGTCAGCNGCCGGGCCTCCAGTGAAGTCACAGTTCTGTCAAAGACATCATGCTCGGATGCGTTTGCTTGGGTTGTACCGCATGCGGGAGTTGCAGCTCTGAGTAGCACTCTGGATATCTGTTCCCAGTGGCCGTTGACATCTGACAGGACGATCTGGCAGGCGTTCGAGGATCCAATTTTGGAAGTTTCGTTTGATTTTTGGTCGACTATCTCCTCAATGGCTAAGCAGGATGAACGTTTTGCGTAGACCGGAAAAGCTCAATGAAAAGTAGCAGCATACAAGTGTGTGGCGCACCTGGTGCATAAGTGTACGCTGGTGTTTTAGAAGGGGCGGCAAGCAACGATAGACCCTCACCACCAATAACTGACAGCGATTTTGTCCACTTGGATTCGGGGCTGCTTTGTTGGTGGGCACCACATTGTCAAGCGATGTACACTGTTACGGAAATTCGCAAAACAAAGGAACAGCCCGTGATCGGAGCACATCTGAAGCAGGCGATCTCCGTTGTCCGTGCGTCTCGTGTCTAATCCAAGACGAACACCCACTCGGGCCTCCATAGCGCTTCATCTAGCCACCTGGAGGTCCGTGTCACCAGCAGCTTTTACTCCGTTGTAAAAGATCATTTAGAGCATCATAGATTAAGAGCTGCAGTCAGTTGGGGCGTAACTAGACACAATAAACAGGGTGCAGTGGACCTCCGTTCCTCTAGATTATTTCACAGATGTTGCCAAACGAACGGTGCAGATGCGACTATCAACGGGTATCCTCTCAAATGGAGACTTTTCCGCTCGTTCGCTCAATACAATACCCACCCCAGCATCTTCCTCCACTCTGGAACCTAGTGGGACGACACTGTGCTATTCGCGTTGGCATTTGGGTGGTGGTTGACGACGGCGACCTACGGATTCAGGCTGCTTTACGCTAGCTTACATCAATCGCCAGACGGTATCCGTATTTTAGCTCCGAGATCCATACGATCACGGTGATACTTCAACTCGCAATGGTATTACGCTGTCGCGGTTTCACGATCAAAGTGATTGGATAGCAGACACGGGGCAAATGTACTGAGGCTAAGCACAATCTCACTGAAAGATTGAGGTTGAGGTACTGAGTGAATCAAACACTGTAGTTGTACTGGGGGGGGGAGGGCTTTTGAATGAAATTCATTGTGCACAAACGGGTGGTCGAGCTAAACGAGGCGTGTTGTCTAATGTATGGATTGTCAAATGGAACTGGGCCACAGGCTTCACTGATTATTGGAGTCTGCCTTACGATATTCTTCAAATGGTAACGCTTAGAGCTTCGTAGTAGGGATGGCTCCATAAAGCTCAAAATGGTGTTGCTATGATGTTTGCACAGCATGACACATGTGTTCCGAACCATTTGTCAAGCTACCTATCAGCCGACACCAGAAAGTTGCAGAATCCGTCGCCACAGTAGCTTCAGAGATGAAAAATCCTCTACACTTAGGTGCACGGAAGAGTAACACACTTTCTTCTATGATGACTGATAGAAAAATCCCGACTGTATCAAGGACTAACCGCAGAATGGCTCAGATTCACAAGTGTAACATTGTATGGCTGGTTGGAGAGAGTAATGCAATTTAAGCTATTCGGAGAGGTTACCTCACATGGGTCAAACAAACGTACCCCTATCAATCCTATGGGAGTGTTATTTGGCCCGTCACGTCAAAAACCTGATTGGATCACCGGTCTGCGAGCAACTAGGTCATGTGAACTGAGGAACAGATCGATGGAGAAAAACTTTTCAACAGTACATTCGCACTCTGATGTTATTGTGTTTCGGTATCTTGATATCAGAGACATAATTATGCGCTCGAGTAATGAAAAAAGGGACAACTTAGACATACGCCCTAAAATATTGTGATTTCATTGTAAACCGGTGAAGGAAGCATGAGAAAAACGAGAGTAAAAACTGGTGACACCACATGAACGACAGCATCGACAACATCAGATATTGTTCAACTGAACTTATCATTACACAAACAGCATACAGAATCAGAAGTACACCAGGCATGATTCACCCAGTACGACATATATGACGAAGCCAAAAGGAACGAGCACTGAAACGGATGGACACCGTTGACGCACTTTATTTTCAACGCTCATCCTGTGAACAGCGTGTGGATAAGATGAGCACTCAGGATTACGTGGAGGACGATTGTCGGTCACGCGTATGGTGCGCATATACGGGTACGTGAGCTGAGCGAACAAGATACAAAAGTAAGGACAATCAATTTGCTCGGAACTACCGTTGCAATAGCGCTTATGTTGTTTGAATTGTCCATGGCACCGAACGAACATGGTTGGCCAGGAATTCGACTTGTAACTCAAACTCGGTAAGGCAGATGTGCCTCAGATGAAAACCGACTTGAATTTTAGCACACAAGCTGTCTTTTTACAAGGCGCGATGGTTAAACGTTGTACCTAGTTCATATCCGTAGGGTCAAACTGAATATTCGTGTTGACTGCTTCGCCGTGGTAGGAAGAAACAGATAAAAACTAAACTGCTTGCGCAGACTTGGCCAAAGACTATCAGCACCCAGTTTATCAGCGGGTCTTAACAATAATTTGTTGTTCTACCTGATTTCGGAGGCTCCTTTTGAATACCAGTTGATCAGGTGGATCTTGATCTTTTCACCGAACTTGTGGATTAGCTTGCAAGCGTTTCGTCACAAACCGGGGAGACATTATCAGTGAGCGGTTGGGTGCACGTTGATGTCCTCTTGATTAGTGACGACACGTTCGCAAACTAATTGCCCACCTCGGCGAACAAACCATCAGCCACAAACCAGAGACAGTACCCGAGCTACTAATGAAATAGAGTGCCTTTGGGTGCGCAGTTGTTTACTAATAAACACGGACGGACGCTATAAGCTATCGGACACGAAAGTAAAAACTCCACTTGAAGATAGCATTTGAGAAAGTCAACATTCTCAAGCGTTTTTCTGAGCATTCACGGACGTCGTTTAAATGTTTAAAAGTGATGAACGAAAGCTGCAAAACGGTTCAATAATATCCACCTCAACCTTCCATCAGATACAGGGACAGGACTTCAGGCCACTTTGCCACTACGTTTCATCATTTAGCATACGCCGTTGCACACCCACTTGAGAAGTTTGCATGCGCGTCATTGATACCTCAATGAGGTAAGCTGCGTCGGCTGGTTCATTTGGCACATATTCCAGCGCACTGTACCCGTTCACACACTGGCACCTAATTACTTATCTCGGTTCTCGACTGTCTTGGATTGTCTAGACGTTCCCTTGACAGCCAATACCGACTAAAGATCCTTGCCACCGACTGTCCAACCTCCGCGATTCCAGCCCATTTATTTCATGATTCTGAAAAGCTGCCAATTTTTCTCACGCTCTCCTTTCCTCGCCTAGTTCTTCCGGAGACAGGCGTGTAGTCGACCATACATCAACATGAACGGGAACTTGCCTGTGGTTGACACACGTGTGCCAACAACACTATCGACAGGTTCACCTCTCAACCGCCTCTTTTGGCATTAGGTCATTCCTTGATAGTTTGGCTGTTGCGTTCCGTTGGGACATTTGTCTATGCATGGTAGGTTGCCGTCCTTAGTGGCTCCCTACCCATCTGCTGAAAGATACTCTTGAATTCTTCACTCTCAAAGAAGGGCAGCTGGCTGGCTAAGATCGTTGTTCACCACAATGTGATTCATTATTGCTCAGCTAATCGTTATGCCTGTTGATTGGGCAGGGCAACCATCCCGAAGAACAGCAAAAGGGGTTCTGTCGTCATCACAACGAATCTTTAGCAACTAGTTGACATCGCAAAGGGTTCAACGGACCATAACTATCCTACTCCTGACACATGGATGGGTTCCATGGGATGAGTTACTCCTCTCATCAGATGGCATTTCATTACATCACTTCTCATCCCTGGGCAGTAGGCCATCCGTCGAAGCAAGCCATGAGTTTTGAAGAATCCCGTATGTACCATCTTGTGACATTAAATAATCAGCATCCTTCTCAAATCGCACGGTATAACGGGCATTACGAATCCAAATCGTCAGACTGCCATGATACTGTGCCAGACTCAGTCATATTCAATCTACCGACGCGTTCCCAGAATGTCTCCAACCATATCCTCAATAGCTGTCCTGTCTAAGTTTTGTAATACGGGGTCCGACTAGGCTATTGATAATGACCATGGTTAATGAAGCTTCATTTCCAACCTCTTGTATTGAAATGTTATCGGTCAGATGGTTCTCATTCCCTGGTACATGAAGCGTTACTCATTTGGTAGGAGTGCACAGTGAGGAGCATTCTGTGGGGACCTCTGGTGTTCCCGATCCACTCAAAGAGGGTTTATGGTCAACCTACCTCTTAACTCAGGAGATATGGTCCGGACAACCGCCAAATATTCTTGAGGATAAGTTGTTGACCTAACATCTACGCTCTAACACGTTCGAAGGTCTCATGTGCATCACTTATACACTCAAAAGTCTATTCTGACAGTGGGATAGCGATCGGGTTGAAACCCCTGATAAACTGGCTGTAGTATTCTTCTTTGGGACCGGACGGTTCTGGATCTTTGCCAGTTTTCCCGCCAGTGGTTTGACCAAGCAGTGTCATAGAATTTCGAGCGCACTGTCTTCGCTGCTTTGACCCGCAGATCCGACCCAACACGGATTTTAAGTGTTCCGATTCTAAGTCGCTGTACACTGATAGCGTCTCTATATAGGACAGAATTATTAAACACTCCTTCCACTAAATGAAATTACATGGCACATCCAGAAAACATTCCTCTAAATTGATAGTCGTCCCTAGAAGTAAAGACCATTTTCTGACTAGATGGCCAGCTGTCAGTATCTAGAGCAAAGTCACACAGTGAAATATCAAGGCCACTGGAGCGAATTAAAAACCTTCACGACTGAATGGACGACTTCTACTGGATTTAGGATAATTTCGCTCAAACGCCGGAAATATTCGCCTCCCTGGTCATTAAACATTGAGGAATCGTACAGTTAGCTTCCTCGATTACACCACTTTCAAGAACCTGTATCTCATCCTGTATATGACGCAGACAGTACGATAATTTCGTGCTTGAGCTAAACGGGTATTCAGCACTTGCAAACAGTTCTGCGTTCTCCTAGAACAGTATGTACTAATGAAACACTGCGAGACGATAGCTCTCGGACACGCAGTTCCTCCACGGCAGAACTGGGGTAAAATTCAAGCCTAACTGCTCCGTAATTTGTCATCAGCTGGCCTCGGTTTAGGATCTACAAAGGATTCTGCGTTCTTCATAAAATTTGGTTTACGTCGTTCCACCAATATTTTGGAACCTTTTGAGTCAGTTCACAGGTTGCAGTCAGGCAGCAAGCATGAGACTGAACAAACTGGCAACTTCGTTTCAAGAAGCAGAGCGACTTCGGGTATGTGTTCGTCTACCCGAATTCGCAACCTTTTTGAGTCCATTCTATTTGGCTGATACCATTGATAAGATAGATGAGCATGCAGACAGATGGTTACTCTTGTCCATGAGTGACATGAAACCGAAGCTTTTTAGTACAGCCAAATTAGGACTCTAGGATCCAGATGAACTGATTTTCATGGTCATTGTGCTCCTGAAGGGGGCAAAATTGGTGAGATGATTCGGAAGATTGCAACGTACAAAGATTACGCAAGTGACATGGCCGTTGTTACGGAAACCGACGAACAGGCAACCAGACGTGACGGTTGCGGAAAAAATGGAGTACTCATTTCCCTGGACGTAGAAATAACCAAATGAACCCCCAGTTCAATTTGTCGGGAGGCGAGATAGTTCCATGGTTAGAGCGGAGATTTGCTGATCGGTAGCTTCATGGTTCGAACCCGACCCCTACATCTGGACTACTCCTGTCAAGGCTTGGGCAACTTGGAAGTGGTATGGCAGCTAGGCACCGAAAGGGTGTTACAGCTGAACAATATATATATATATATATATATCTTAAACTCCCCTGAACTAACCGTAGGAGCCTTTTGTCAAACTGCGGCACCAGATCGAGATCCTTTCCCCGTAACTGACGTTTTTTAAAACGTACTTTGGAAACACCACACCTGTTAGCGGCTATGATGAACAAGGGGGAGAGCTTAACCAATTTTACAGTTGAATGGTCACCCGTTAGAGGTAACAAACAGGCGTTTTCGAATAGCTAGGTGAGAATGCGCACAATGCGGTATCCGCCTTACATGGTCGTTTTTGTAATCAAATATTCGACGAGGAAATTGTTTTTGAAACGGATATTTGATAGATGTATGGGAACCCGAGAAATCAATGAAGCGGCATTCAGCATACAACTACAACCGACAACAATCAACGGTAATAATGAATGATCTGCCAATTAGTTGCTAAAAGCCCAAAAACAAAACTGTTGTCCGAGTAATTAATGTAGGGAAGCGTTTACTAACACCAACAGGCCTCACCCAATCATCCTTTGTAAGAAAATGGAAAAGGCACTGCTGCCACAGTAGCCACCCCCCCCCCCAGTGTAGCATTTCTCCATCTACACAGGATTGGCATACCGGAAACAGGGTAGCTCCAACTGAGACGGCGTAAGAGATCACCAGGTCAAAGTATGTAGGAAAAACATGAATGCACGATGCAACCTAAAAATGACGAAACGCATTTCCATGGAATTCGCTAGTCGATTACCGAAAAGGATAGACAATCGCAAGGAAAGCCTTGGTCAAATCCTTGTAGGTGATCGTAAAGAGTACGGGTAAAACACAAAAGCGTTTGCCTGGGTCGCTAACATACAAACACTGAATCGAAACAAATGAAAATTGAAAAGTCACAGGTGGTAGTACGTGATAATGGATCGCTGTCCGACTGACTGTCTCACATACAATATTAATATACAGAAACTGATCAACACATAGCATCGAACATGAATACTCACAGTGGATTTACGCGTCAACGCGTAAGCATGATCACCACCAGCATACAAACGCGCCACTTCTAAGGGAACATCAGGACTACTTGTAGACTGATTTGAACTGGTACCCCTCGTTAACCATGGACCTGGTGGTAAAAGCAGAATCTAGCGATGAGAACTGTTAAACTGTATGAACTGATAAACAGTAATAGGACATGCATGAGTAGTGATAGTCGCAATATGAGGAAAACAGTGTCAAACAGTTCAAATGGTTCAGCGTACCACACAACACAGCATAAAAGTCAGAAGGCCTACAAAGGATGTCGGACCCACTAACTTCGCAGCACTCCGTAGTCCTACAGTTTGTAGTAAAGCGCTGTAGCGCTATAGCCACACGAAATCGGAGCGTAGCTTTTCAACTTTTCACTTTTCCACACCCTCTATGCACAATACCGCGATCTTCAACGGCCGATTACTATGCTGAAAAACATAAGCAAATATTTTCCAGGGTAAAGCAGAAAACCCGCTTACTACCTATTCAGCTCGACTTTTCATATAGTAAGCGTTTGGATCAACAATGCACATGAATCGATAAAACGGTCTCCATCTTGCATGTCTCACAACAAATAAGGTTGGACGCTGATTTAAAAGAATAGCTCACCACACCGTCAACCCTTGGTGCTTCGTTGCAAAGGACTAGTCAACTATCGTCCTGAGCATCAGGATACTAAGCGATCTCGGTTTGTGTACGTAAGGGACACGAAAACCTTCCAACATAGTATATGTGGTCAGTACAATGAACAGATTCCGGCTTGGATTAAGAAACATTCTACATGGAAACATCACACCTTTGGTAAATGGACGCATAAGTTGGGTCATGCTTGACTGGTTCGATGGTCAAATCATCTTTCACATGAAATAAATCAATGAGATCCTCCAAACCAAATTGAGAAAAGATTCTTGATGCGCAAGGCAAAGAGCTGTAGTTCTTCAAACGATTTAAATCCGCTGAATTAAGCGAAGGGTTGCTTCATCATAACAGTGGGTTGGAAATCACTTTTGCTAACTACCGGAAGACTAAAAGTACTTTCCGACGTATTCATGTTCCATGCACCAAACCACTAAAGGTCGATGAACCACACTGCATTAGCTTAGTCTTATTCTCTCAGACACCCTGTTGCGGAAAACCAAGAGCCATTTCTGACAGTCTACTACGGATCACAACCTGATAAAGTTGCTGCAATTTTTGGAATCCTTGCCAGAAGGAATGCTAACCATGATACTGGCACATGACTTGGTGCATTCTTCACAAACCAGAGCCACCCATTAGGTTATCTTGTGTCGCACAAGTTTCGCGGTTTGGGGAATGCCAGGCTCAACCACAATGAAATCCAGTGCGTTCAGCTCCAATACCACCGTCACTCCACCTGTTGTTGGAACCACCACAGCTCCAGATAATGAAAAGTTTTGTTATGTGAATCCTTGTCTACTTTCCGTCCGCCCATTCACTGCACATTGTAGGCCTAAACCAACCCGTCGGTCTGCATCCACCGGTGGACCGGCTCATCAGGTGTCTTGTAGCTCACCGTATAGAACCTTCGGAGGGAATTTGACCTTTCTTTTCCATGTAACATTATCACTCTTTGTCTTTTCCTTTTGCCCGCATTCCACATGATTGTTTCCTCATGCGCAGCCATCTACGGCTCTAACACGGTGTTGTTGTTTTAGCGATGAGGTGGACGGACAAGTTGACAATCCAACTCAAGCAGCACTGGGCTTCACATACGGACCTTGAAGAGTTGACCACGTCATCCAAAACGTCGCATTATGATGTCTTATCTCATGTGTTGGTTCTGACTTTAGACACAGTGCGAACCACATGACGGACGTTTCATTTAACCAAGCAGACGAGGGATAACTCTTGTAACACTGCATTATGAGGAATTTCTACGTGCTATCACTACAAAAACTTCATGACATTTAGATCTTTGAGCATTTGGAGGTAACCTGCTTACATCTTCAGTCGACCTGCCACGTTTTCCTAAGAGATTGAGAATATCACAATGTCCTCTGAGATTCGTATGAAACACAGAATTAAATGTAGCCTGTTAAGCTGTGGAATCTTCTCAAGAAAGTTTTTCAATTAGCACTGAGACAACCCAAGGTGCGACTGTAAACATCACTAGGAAATATGCCACCCAGCACCCATGATAATCAACAGCTATTGATTATTACATTCTCGCTAATTAGCGTAATCAATGGATAAGGATATCTACCTACTTAAAAAATTAACTATTTCGGTATTGGATAGTGATGTGATATTGATGGTGATTTCCAAAGCTTCCACTTAGAAAAGAGCTTTCAGCGCGTGAGAGGGTGGCCTTCAATCGGCGTACCTTTGACAGGCATCGGCCGTGAACTGTCCGTATTGGTGTCGGTGCCCAGCTGTCCCTCGGAACCTGCCCCGAAGGCGTACACACAACCAAGAGAGGGTACTAGAACCAGAGTGTGCATCCGACCACAAGCAACCTGAGTTGTCGGATTGTCCATCAAGTCTGCCACTTTACGAGGGATCGAAACGGATTTGGATGATTCGCCATGTCCCAGTTGTCCAAACCTGAAAAAGTGCACCAAAAAATCAAATTACGATGATTTACAGCGAAAATGAACGGTGCTCCGGCAACTACACAATAAGTTCATTTGGGTTGGACCATGCACTTAACAGAGTTAACAATAAAAATAAGGCGAAATGCAACCAACCTTCGCTGAGTTGAAAGAGGTACGACCTTCGAATAGTCAAAACACGTACCGGCATTCGTGCAGGTACTGTTTTGGATTTGCGCCTATCAATCAGCCAGTCACTAGTGCAGAGTTGGCATTAATTTCATGACGGTACATTGACAAGGACAATTTACCGAAACAAAATCAGGACATAGGGATTGGTACCATCAATAGAGAACAATGTGCGGCTTTCCTGATACAGACAAAACTGACAGGAATCGGTCAACCCGAGCAAACCGCTCACCTAGAAAGCGTATTTACCTCGGGTAACCTGTGAGGACTGTACCTCTCGCACTTAGGCAGAATTGTGACTCACTAAAACTTTCAAGTTGGAACAGGGGAAACCGCTGCGTTGAACGTCTACATGTGACATCGGCTCAAAAGTCAGGTTGAATGGATACTAAGGGAGAAAACAAGATGCTCAGTAGCTGCGAGGTTTGTGAAAAGGGCAGGAGCATTTTAGAGTACTATATACTTACTGATTTCCTCCGTAAGTGAACACCCCTCCCTCTTCGGTTAGGACTACCGTATGCGACTCGCCACAATCAACAAACACCGCCCGTTGACCTTTTAAACTTCTAACGGCAGTTGGAACGGAGACCGAATGTTGTGGAGCGATTTCGATGGAAGAACGAGATCCAGAGACTGTCTCAGATGCCACCGTTTCAATGGGTTCCAAACCCAGTTGACCGTATTTGTTTCCGCCCCAAACATACAGAGTTCCGCTGATAGTGAGCACCGCGCTGTGGACACCACCTGCACTGATGCAGCGTATAGGTAGACCAGCAAGACACATCAGCTGTTGTGGTATGACGATAGGGAGGTCCGACCGGAAACCAAGACCTAGCTGGCCCCAAATATTAGAACCAAAGACGAATAGACGGGAGGTGTCGGTTAACACCAGACTATGCTCGAGGCCAAGGCTAACCTGAGGAAGGGTGGAAAAGAAACATGGTATTGAAGGTTCAAGCTGTAAACGCATATAAAACCGTAAGGAGGGCGAGACGGCCGAAGTGGTTAGAGCGCGAAATTACTGATAGGAAGGTTCGTGGTTCGAATCTGCCCTCTCCCACTCGACTTCCCCTGTCTAGGCTTGGACAACCTGGCAGTATCCCAACCCTCGTGCAACCTTCGGGTGGCATGGCAGTTAGGCACCGGAAGGATGTTACAGCTGAACGATTTCAATTTCTTTTAAGGAGCGCCGGTGCATTGCTCATCGACTCCACTAAAGCAACAGAGTGACAAAAAAGATATTGCTGTCAGCATTTTATGTACGGCGATACTGATAGCGCAAAAATTTGGCATAATTTAGTATAACATTAGAGCTATTTTGAAAGGGATATACTGAGTGGTAATGAATAAAACAAGCTTGAAATGAACCCTGTCAAACTTTCGCTATTATCGTTACCTGTCAAGTGATACTACTGAAACCAAAAACGTTCAGCTGTAACAACTTTTCGGTGCCTAGCTGCCATGTCACCCGAAGGAAGCTTGGGGCTGGTATACTGCCAATTTGCCCAAGCCTGGACAGAAGTCGAGATGCAGAAGTCGGGTTCGAACCACGGACCTTCCGGTCAGTAAATTCGTGCTGTAACCACTTGGGCCATCTCGCCCCCTTTCTCTCCTGTTCCCGAACATGGCAGTTTGATAACATCCAAACTGGCATAGGAACTGGTGTGTCTCGCGAGTAGACCAGCTACGGACACTGTAAGCAGCGTAGAGAGAACTGCTGTGTGCGTGAAAGGAATTATTACATGCCGTATGGAACGGGAACATGACAAATCGATAATCAACTGGTGTTGTATCCTCTTTGCGGCCATGCGGTAGAATCTGCTTGGCGCCGATTGGTGTGGAACATCAGGCACAGCAGACAAAATTTAGTAGATCCCAACTGCAGAAAATATGTTCGTCATTAAATATTAATCCCCTTAAGCGTTTGTCGCACGAGGAGCTTATATGGACATAAATGAGTTGAATTCTCGAGTGAGCAGACCAATCAATTCATCAGAGCACCACTCTTGTCTTGTTTCCCGACGGAGAAAATCTAAGAATTCAATTGGTCCGCTTGTTTAAAGCACTAACTATTCAGAGATCTCCTCTTAGAGGGCAGCATTGCATCTTACAGACTCGAATTGTTTGTCATAATGGTGTTCCGTGTTCGCACTGTTTCCGCCATTAGTACACTGAAAGGTATCTGACTCGATGGTTTCAAACAATTGAGTAAAAATCACTCAAAGGGACTCTCCAACATCGGGGAAGGAGGAACGAAGGCCCCAGACCGCGGAAACCAACTAACAGAAGACTGGCTGAGAGTCCGATTTCTCCATCCAATAACCACCAGGTCTTATAATGTTGCTGACAGCATCAGTGAAGTCCAGATCGTAGTTGCTAGAAGAAGCCTCACGCCAGAGCTTACCAGTGAAATCTAAAACAGAAGGCGCACGATGCTGTCGAAATAACGCGATCCATTTTGTGTGCAAAAACCAACAGGCCTTGTGTGCTCCTATTACGTCCGGAATATGCAATTTTCCAGAAGGAAATTCATTGTCTGGAACGCCCAAAAAAGTTGCAACAGCTCCCTTGTCAGGCCGCGATTCTACGCGACATAGGCCTGCCGATGCCCCAAAGAATAGCGACAAGTTGGAAGTAAACTTGGCGAACGACTGAGCTGAAGACTTAACATATCCTCTGTTATCCAACCATACAAGGGCCACGTAACAGCCACGTGGTTTCTTGACAAAATGCCCGATATCGTGAAACTTTCAACCACTTCGCCACGTCGTATTGAACAGTATTGTTGGGAATATCAATATCCCCAAAAACTGTATTTTTGTGTGCTAGCGAACTTCCGGGATCTTCTAGGTCAAACTATGAATATATATATATATATATATATATATATGCAATGTCATTTTTCTCATCATCGCCTGTTGATCACGTGTTGTTGGATCATTAAAGCTTGTGTCCGAGATTTTTCTTCTTACTATCCGCCGTGCTAGGAGTCTGGATCAAGCAACACAACTGGGGATAGAATATTGTCATAGTCCGCATATCTTATTGTTTGCTCGCTGCGTGATCGAACCGTAACAAGTATCTGCCAATTAATGATGACGGAGCAGGCGGTTGAGAAGGCAACGGGCCATATTGTAACATTCATTTGAGGTGTTTTAGATAACTTCGGCATACCCTGCATATTTGGATATCGTTCAGCGTGAGTTTGCGCAATCTGAGAATTTCCCCATCAAAATGAACAGCGTAAGGATTTAAATGACCCTTTGGATGGATCAATGTATCGCCAACGTGGTCTTACATCCACACAGAACTGGACCTTGGTGAACGGGGCTTGCATATTATCGGATAGCTGAACCAGTAACGAAAAAAAAAAACAGAAAATAACGGTTGGTTTGCCAGATCTAAATCAAATTATTAACGACCAGATACAGAAGATATCTGGTCACGCCGTTCAAACTCAGGCTAAAGTGGGGGCGAAACGGTTAAACGGTTCTCGAAATTGCAGGGAAAAAGACATCTTCTTACGAATGGTCACCGGTGATAATCAGATGGCGTCTGGAAGCCCTCGGGGTCCGAATTAACGAATTCTCAAGGGCGCTCGGGACAGAAACAGAAGGGACAAGAAGACGTACTTGCACAACTCGATGCTCTGCTAAAGATCGAATCATTTTGACTGAGCTGTCATCGCCTTCGCGACCCAACTGGCCATTAGAATTACAGCCCCATGTAAACAGGCGCCCGGTATAGCTGATGGCTGCATTGTGATAGGCACCACAGGCGATATCCGTGATTGTATGGTTTTCCAGAGCTGTAATCTAACCAAAAGAGCGAGAGAAAACAGAAGACGGTACTGTATAGTGGAACCTCCGAAAACAAATACACCTGAAGGAAAAGCAAGTAAACCTCCAGCAGCCGCATGCAACCGGAAAAAGTGCGAAACTGGAAAGTTTATCTGCTACAACGGCTTCTTGAATAATAGAACAGACACGGTGTGCTAACGAAAACTTCGTTTTTACCGCCTGAATTCATCATCGACAGCATGACACCGGTGTTCAACACTGGTCCTTCACATCCGTCATTATCACCGATTAGTATATGCATAGACCATAGAGTTCATGAATAAGGGAATTGCGTTGGAAATTTGTTGCTAGCGCACTGTATGACCTACACTGAGGATTTGCGCACAGAGTACAAGATAAAGGTGAGTAAAGTATGGCAAACGTACCCGTCGAAAATCAGAAGGCGAATCCGATCTCCCCAGCTGTCCGAATTCATTTCCACCACAACTGTATACCTCACCGTCAGCATTGAGAAGTAAAGTGTGCTTGTAACCGCAAGCTACACGAGCTATCGTCCAGCGGTTGGGAACTGTAATGGGCTGAGGGGATGAAATCTGTTGAGAATCTTGTTCATGAGGTCCAAGTTGGTTGTCGTCACACGCGCCCCAACCGAATAAGAAGCATTTGGGAGCAGCACACATTCAAAACCGCTGAAGTAAGAGAAAAGATGAAATGTTGCAATCCACCCTGAGTTATAAGTCATCTCACACAGACCAACAAGGTTACAATCTAGAGGAACGCGTTGGCAAAAATGCCACCAAAATCCAGATAAAATGGTCGAAAAAGAGCAGGATGATGACTTGATGTAGGTGGGCTCAAGGAAATAGGGGTTAGTACAGTATTGTAGTTAGGTATCAAGTCAGAGAAAAATCACGGTGTTCGTTGTCTTGTTCGCTGAGCTGGGCAATTTGATTGCAAACGTTTCATCACCAATCGAGGTGACATCATCAGTGCGTTATTGTGGAGCGTAGTAGTGCGTAGCGACGGGTTGGTTGTTGTGCACAACTACGCTCCACCATAACGCACTGATGATGTCACCTCGATTGGTGATGAAACGTTTGCAATCAAATTGCCCAGCTCAGCGAACAAGCTAACGAACACCGTCTACGCCACCTGAGCTACCAACATTTTCCTCTATGGAGAAAAATCAATTGACTTGAGGTGTTCACCGGCCCTGTATCAATCAGCATCAGTGACAACAACACGGGTGAATGCACAATCCCAATGCCATTTAATTCAGTTGAAAAAGAGCCTGACTCAGAAACAAGCGGTGCAGAAAAATTAGGTAGATTTAAATCCAACAGGCTCGAGAGCTCCGTGGTTAGAGTGCGAACTTATCGACTGGAAGATCCATGCTTCGAACCCAACTGATCCTGTATAGACATCGACAAACTTGAGGTGTCTCAGTTCCTGTGCTTTCTATTGCAGGATGACGGCTAGGCACCGAGAGGATGTCACAGCCAAACAACGTAATGCACTACTCATAAAGTTTCTGAAAACTGTTCGATAGCCCCGACCGGTTTCGCCCTTCTTGGGAAGAACCTCATAAACGAGAGGTTTCGCTGGGTTCCAGGTAAGTATACCGTGTGCAAATGAATGCATTTCGCTAACTATTATTATTATCATCATCATCATCATCAATGACAGCAACATCAGTGTTGGCACTGATGCTTCACTGCCGTACAACCATAAAGTTCGTTTAGTTATATATATATATATATATAATTGTATTAAAAGCCCTACAGTGAAGAGAAGAGAAAAAGAGTGGGTGAGGGAGGGGACCTAGTGCTGGCCTATGTCAAGCATACTGAGGTGCCTACACCTCCAACCGCTCAATCAGACAATCTGGAAAGAAACTGACAGCACGAACGCCACTGACATCGATTAGCCGCCATTTCTTGCAACATCTCCAGCTAAGCACAGACGGGGTCATGGGGACCCCATCCTGGAAGTCGCACAACACCAAAAACACCCAAACTCTTCGTGATCTCCTTCACGCCTTTCAGCCAAGTCATGTGCTGTTCACCTCGCGGTTCGCGCCATCCTGAAGGAGACACGGAGAACAACACCTGCCTCGATAGACGGTGTTTTGGCATGCGTAGCACATGACCGAGCCATCGTAGTCGATGATGCTGGATGTTTTCCCGGATTGACGTGCCTGCAGCACAACCAAATACCCGTTTTCTAATCACCTCGTTACTAACACGCTGAGGCCATCTGAAACCAGCCACGCTTCCGAAGCATCGGTGGTCGAACGCCTGAAGACGCCTCACATCATCTACCCACACAGGCAGAACCCATAGCCATCTGAAACCAGCCACGCTTCCGAAGCATCGGTGGTCGAACGCCTGAAGACGCCTCACATCATCTACCCACACAGGCTAGAACCCATACAGCAACACTGCCCTCAGGGTAGCCTTGTACATACGACCCTTAAGATCCAGTGAGATGCCTTTTTGACGCCACAAGTGACGCAAATTAGCAAATGTGATTCGGGCCTTTGAGATTCTTGCACTGACTTCATCAGACACACTTCCGTCAGAGCTAATACAACTACCGAGGTGTGTAAAGTTTTCCACAATCTCCAGTGGTTCTCCTTGAACTGTGAGGGATATGTTCGCAGATGGCACGTTCTGAAGCAGGACTTTGCATTTTGAAGGTGCAAGGCGCATGCAAAAAACGGTATGATGATGGTCAGTCTATTCAACAGGGATTGTGCTTCGCTATGGTCTTCAAAGAGGAGGGCGATGTCATCTGTGTACTCAAGATCGAAAAGGCTCTCACCAGCAATAATTTGAACAAAAGAGGTTTTGAAAACCGTCCAGTGTTCGCCTCATCATTTCATCGATGACGAAGTTGAACAAGAATGGGGAGAGTGAACATCCTTGTCCGACACCACTTTTGCAGGGAAGCGTTTGGAGAGCTCACCATACACTCTCACCCGCCCAGAAGTACGTGGATATGGGGGTCGGATTGCTTACAAACTTCTGGGGCATACCCTATTGAGCAAGTGTAGTTAGCAGCACTGACCGATCGATAGAATCAAACGCACCCTTGAAGTGAAGGGTTACCAAGATTATGGGTCGTCTGTACATGTGTCGTTGCTCTAACACCTGACGGAGTACGAAGACGTGGTCAACGAAGCCCCTACCCGGTCGAAATCCCGCTTGATTCTCACAAGTCAAGGCTTCGCGTGCAACCGTTAGACGACGAAGAATCAGTGACGCCAGAAGCCTTGTCACAACAGGCGTCAAACTAACACATCTTTGGTTACTATATTCACTGCAAGTACCATTTTTGAAAATAGGCACTACTATCCATTCATCCTAGTTGTCTGGGACGGTCTCTTTCTCTCAGATAAACCCAAATAGGCTAGACAGGTACTGGCTGAGGAATCCAACGCCATTCTTGAAAAGAGCGGGTGGAAGGTCGCGAGGACCAGCAGCACGATGACACTTGATTAGAGATATACATTCGGACACTTCTGAGACTGAAGGCGGCTCCATATTTGCGGCCCATCTTTCTGTTGAAGGTAGAAGATGGTTAGCTGAATTGCTGCTCGAAGTACTGTGCCCAGCGGTCCGAACTTTCTGCTTTGCTGCATATTGGGGAGCCATTTTGGTCCCTGATTATTTCGCTTAAAAGGGGTTTTCGAGTACCAGCCGAACGAATCAATCGGAGAAATCTAGCGGACGTTTCCAGCATTCTTCGCATCTTCCATTTATTCGGCCTTTCGAGTCCAAGTTCAATTTCACCTAGCGTCGGATGATGCAACGGGTGGAGTTGTGGTGGTGACTAGGTGGATTCTGTCACTGGGTCTCCAGCAAAGACACGGTCCTATCAAAGATCCAATGCTTGGATGGGGCTGACTGGGTTGTACTGCAAGCAGACATTTCGGCTTTGAGTGGCGCTCTGGACGTTTCTTCCCAGACATATACAGGCGTTCGAGGAGATGGTTGTCATTTGACTTCTAGTTTTACTAGCTACTCAATGGCTTAGCGAGGTGTGCGCGTTTTGCGTACACCTGAAAAGCGCAATGAAAACCAGCAGCGTACTAGTGCATGGTCGGTGTCCACTCTGGTGTTCCAGAAGGAGCGGCAGGCGGTGATCGACCCTGTGAGGCAGTTATTTATTTGACATTGTTTGCATCACGGACAGGACTAGAGAGCACCTTCGATATCACAACTACCAGGCTGATGCCACGTTGGTTTTCACGCAGCGCCGCGTACTATTTTTGGAAACAAAAATAACTTTCAACGTTCCGCATTCTGCAGACAATTTCCGTTTGCTCCAAATCGCACCAGAGGTTCTCTGCCTCCTTTGAAGAGAATTGGGTACAGAGAGTCCGACCCTGGCCATTCCTCAAGTTCCAGTACGAATAATTAGTACCTCAATTCTTTTTTGTTAGCTGATTCGCTTCGCCGGCCTGTGGTATCTGCTGCTGACCCGCTCCAGTGCCTAGTGTCGGAGAGAAAAAGGCTCACGGAAGGGAACACAATAGCTATAGTCCAACAAGGTGGTTGCGACAGCGCGCGTGCGAAAAGTACAACGACCTCGAGCTTTTATTGGAAGGACACTGTCTGAACTTGGTCGAATGCTGACGCACGCGGTCTGGTTTTGGTACGAGGCAGCGACGCGCTGCATATTGCGGAGGCGTTGTCTGACCTTGATCAACACTGACTCGCGCTGTCTTGGTTTGATGCAAGGCTGTGATGCGCTCTATATTGAGGGGGCAGTGTCTGTCTGGTTAACATCTAGCGGAGCTGAGGGTCTCCGTAGATTTCGGGCATTCAGTGGTTGCTTTCAGGAAGCTGACCTTCCTGATATTT